ACTGATGGGTGGGTCTGGCACAGGTATTGTGATATCACTTGCATCCAAGCTAACTGCTGGAAGGTCTACCTGGTACAGCTGCTCGAAATACTTAGCTTAACGTTCACAAACCCCCAACATTATCTGTCCATCCACTGAGTGGACTGCAGTCATCTGCGAGGAGGGCAGCCACCTCAACTCCCAACCTCATTAGTTCTCTCAATAGGAGAGTTAACCGCTTGTTCTGCTTCAAGGACCGGATGTCACAAGTGCCTACCTGGATAGCTTGCCTGAGGTTAAGTCTCAGGCAGTCACTCCGGGTGGATGTCACCCAACGAGACCCACAGCCTGCCTCACTTGCTGGGTGGGAGGGACAGCACCCCTCCCCCCCCAGCATATCCATTTATCTTCAATGGGGGGGGGAGGACTAACAAGGCCCACCTCAACTGAGCCATCTATTAATCCCAGGATAGCTAAGGGGCAAGAGTTGGTACAGAGCTAGGGCATGTCACATGCCGGTGGGCCATGGCTCGTACATCTGGGGCCTCCTGCTGCTCTGAGATCCCCCACAGTTTAGCCTGGGACCGCAAAGTTCACAGTTTCCATGGGTGGCCATGAGGAGGGACTGCAGAAGTCTCGATGATACACACACACACACACACACAAATATATATATATATATTATATATTATATATTAAATATATATATATGTATGTATATATATGTATATATGTATATATATGTATATATATATCTATGTATATATGTATATATGTATATACGTATAAATGTGTGTATGTATATATATATATATATATATATATATATATATATATATATATATATATATATATATATATATATATATGTATATATGTATATACGTATAAATGTGTGTATGTATATATATATATATATATATATATATATATATATATATATATATATATATATATATATATATATTTTTTAATATATGTATATATGTATATATGTATGTGCATATATATATATATATATATATATATATATATATATATATATATATATATATATATATATATATATATATATATGAATTAATTTATTCTAAATAAAAAATAACCATCAATCATTCTAGGAATTAAATACATGAAACACTGATCTTTCTCGCATCAGGTACGTCATTTGTAGCTGTAGTTACAAATCTACCAAGCATGATACCATAATAATAATAATATTGAAGGAAAATACAAGAAATGTGTATGTTTAGAGCAGACTATTTGCAGGATGATTCAACAAAAAAAAAATAAGTTTAGTAAAATCTAGATTGGACGGAGTACTTCCCTTGGGGGGGGGGGGGATGGCAACAACAGTATTTCTTCAACTTCTTCCTTTGCCTCAACTGTTAGCACCAAATCACCTCTATGCAAACAGCTCCCACATACACTCCAATTTCAAAATCTTCATAGGTTCCATTTGCAACTCTACTCTGGACAACAACAGACACTGTCATCACCAAGCTAATCAACCTTTCTAGTATATTTTTTTACCTTAATGACTAGTTCCCTAAGGTATCCCTAACAGGAACCACTACCTAGTCTCTTGCTTGAGCTTACACCAACTAACAAGTTAACCCATTCGCCCCATGTGGCAAGAATAGATGCCATGCCCACTGTAATACATGTTTATTTATTGTATTTACACATAGATGGCTCTACAAGTTCTTAATCACCAAATAGCCAGTTTATCGGAACTACCTATCTCACCTGTTTACCCTTTTCCTTCACTTTAGGAAAAAAAATTTGTATCATTTCATTGTCTAAAATATTTTAATGACAATTTAATAATCATAACATCAATAACAATAACAGTATCAATAGCAATGGTATTAATTTTCCCACCAACTAAATCAATGGGAAAATCAGGGTCGGTAACTAGGGCCTACTGATAGATTCCTTGCCGGCTGAGCACATGTGGAGCCGTCTGTATGTAACAAAATTCACCAAAAACTACAAGGGACAGAACATAAATCTGGGATGAATGGGTTAACCAAGTATCTGAGAATTCCTAATGACGGTCCAAATCCCTACGGTGTGGTTTCTAAATAGACAAATATGTTACATATGGCTCTTCTCACAATATTTTGCTTGCAACTGTATAGCTCCAGGGGAGTTTAAAGTGTGGTTTGATCATATAAAAGGTGGATGGAAGGTGTGTGTGTGTGTGTGTGTGTGTGTGTGTGTGTGTGTGTGTGTGTGTGTGTGTGTGTGTGGTTGTTGTTTCTGTGCATATGTGAACATGTGTGCAACCAATTATAGTGTTTCACTTTGTTTTTTTTTCCTTTTTCTTGTATTTTTTCTACTTTAATGCTATCCATTATAGGCTTTTGCCCACCTTTGCTCTGTTTTTTCTCCCATGTATGTATGCCTGCCCCTATGCATGTATGACTATATATACTATAATATGCTATATGTATAACTATTATGTGTGTCTACGTGCATATCTATGTACATATATATACATAGATGTATATCATCC